TGTGCATATTGAGGCTCTCATGCACAGAAAATTCTACTGGTATTTATCAGAGTTTCAACGAATTTGCAGGCCAGCCCTGTGGCTTAGCGGTTAAGTGCACGTGCTCTGCTGCTGGCGGCCCGGGTTCGGATCCCAGGCGCGCACCGATGCACCGCTTCTCTGGCCATGCTGAGGCCGTGTCCCACATACAGCAACTAGAAGGATGTGCAGCTATGACATACAACTATCTACTGGGGCTTTGGGGGAAAAAATAAATAAATAAAATTATCATCAACGAATTTGCAATTTAAAGTTATGAATTAAAAAGCCTAATTTTTCTTAAGTGATTTAGTTCAACCTATAAATAAATATTATTCTATTTCTAAATCTAGTAAATTTTAATGATCACCTTCAAGGGGACCCTTGAAAAAGACTAGTGGAAGGAACAGACTGGAGGCGGAAATTATATATTTTTGGTCATGTTAATTCTGAGATGCCTATTAGGTGAATCCAAGTGAAGACGCCAGGCGTGAAGCTGCAGCCCTGAAGGGGGGAAGTTAGTCGAGTGGTCCAGGCCGAAGACACAAATTTGTGAGAATTTAGCTGGTTGAAGGTAATTAAAGCCAGGAGCACAGACATCGCTAGGGAGAAGTACAGAGGACTAGGCCTGAGGATGGAGCAACTCTGAAATCTCATGACAAGAAGCTGAGAACAAGCCAAAAAAGTAAGGAAGAAAACCAGAAGAGTGCAGTGTTATGAAAGCTAAAGAAAAAGAGCACTCATAATGCAGACCTTAAAAACTGATTATCTTTAAACTCTTACAAATTATATGTATAGCATAAAATAATCTCACAAGTTATTCAAAAGTCATATTTTAATCTTTATAATTAAGGAAAGCTAATGGATTTTGGTTTGATGGGAATATAAAAAGAATGTGTACTTTATGACTTTGTTACACTTATTCTGAGAGGCCACATAACATTTTTGTTTTGGTAACTGTCACTTACCATTCCACAATTCAAAAACGACAACAGCAAAAACTCCAGAATAAATAATTCAATTCATAATAGTAGTGAAATCACATTGGAAAACTCGACTCGATTGCATTTAGGATTCATACACAGGAAGCAGAAAGGACAGAAGAAAGAGAAATAACCCTTGAGTTTCTACCAGTCATTATGTCAGCCCCTTTACGTAGTTCATCTTACTTAAGTTGCATCAAGATCCTTTACAGGTGGGTATTAACGTCTCTATTTTATCTATGAGAAAACCCAAAGCTCAGACAGGTTAAATTACTCACTTGCCCAAGGGTCTTAAAGGTAGTAAGTGCGAGGGCTGAGATTCAGCCTGATTTGAAAAGATTGTGCTCTATCCCTGCTGAAATAAGACGCCGTTTACTACAAACACGGACAGCTCTTCCACTGACCGTATACAGCTACTTCTGCCACAAGTTTTCACAATTCACGTGAGATATAGCATGATTTATTATTATAGAACACAACTTGCTACATGTGTATCTGTAGCACAGCCAGATAGGAAAACAAACTGTTCCTGCTTGAAATATTGTTAATGTGGAGTCTCAGGAATCTTACCAGGGAAATTGCAGGGGGTGGGGGTGGTGCTGGGTGTGTGTGTAGCAGGGTGGGGGTATTTTAAAGTTAGATAAAAATCCAGAGTCAAGCATTATCCTTGAAAATCCTTTCCGTTTTTAGGAGCAAACCTGAGAGCCTTTGGGTGGCTAGAAGAATTGTCTGCTAAGAGCATCACTTTAAGGCCCTGATTTAGGGCTGCAAAGGTTCTATTTAAATGGTTACTTCTCTTTTATTCTGCCAAACAGACGAATTGACACAAAACTTTACTTGAACGGCTTTTCATTTCATCATAACAATAGTTAGCAAGAGTGAAAGAACATGTACTAAGGGCTGAGCTCAGGTTAGTGCTGAAGGGAGGGGAGAATGAGGAGTCAGAAAATAAAAGCCTTCACTGGAGTAAAACCTAGTTCTAATCAAAGACTAGATTTAGTCAATGATGTTTAGATTTTGTGCTTACATTTATCTTCAGAAACATCGTGTGTGTGTGTGTGTGTGTGTGCGTGAGGAAGATCAGCCCTGAGCTAACATCCATGCCAATCCTCCTCTTTTTGCTGAGGAAGACTGGCCCTGGGCTAACATCTGTGCCCATCTTCCTCCACTTTATTATTTTTTTTATTTTTATTTTTTGTGAGGAAGATCAGCCCTGAGCTAACATCAATGCTAATCCTCCTCTTTTTGCTGAGGAAGACTGGCTCTGAGCTAACATCTATTGCCAATCCTCCTCCTTTTTGTTCCCCAAAGCCCCAGTAGAAAGTTGTACATCATAGCTGCACATCCTTCTAGTTGCTGTATATGGGACGCTGCCACAGCATGGCCTGACAAGTGGTGCGTCAATGTGCACCCGGGATCTGAACCTGGGCCGCCAGCAGCAGAGCACGCGCACTTAACTGCTACGCCACAGGGCCGGCCCCATAAACATTTTATAATTGATATTCCTGTAAGATATATTGTGTGTCAAGAATTCTCGAGCCCTTACTCTCCTTTTTTCATTGAATCGAGTGTTTTTAAATTAAGACTTATCTTGATCTTATAGAAAAGCAACTACCGTGTTACAGGATAACAAACTGTCAAGAGAAAGACATTTTAATGTCACCTTAATTATTCTGTGACCATGTAGATTGATCGTCCAAAGTAGACCGTTTTTTAAAGATAAACAAGATAAAAGCTATCTCTTGTTTTTAATTTCCAAGACAAAATTACAGATGGCTATGTTTACTAAGCCACGATTCATGATCTTGAATCTTCAAACAATTTTATGTGTTCTTTTTCTCTTCACGTTTTTGGAATTCCAGTAGATTTACCATCAATTAAAGAACCTGGCTAAAATGTTGAATTCTTTTCAAAGCAGTCAGTTGTAGAATAACAACCATCTAATGCACAATTTTATTAAAAAATAAACAGCTGGATTTGGTAAAGATTTTCATAATTTTTTGTTGTCATTCTGCTTTTTAGATACCACCATTTTACATGGTTTCAGTAAGTTGGCACAGAGAAGTATAAGTTTCCTAAATTGAATCTGGAGATTTATAAAGGAAGGAGGAACAAAAACAGAAAGAAAAAGAGGCTGGCTTTGACACAAGGAATTTCCACTTTACTGTTATGTGAACTTGTCGGCTATACAAGCAGCAGAATTCACTGAAAAATCCATTTGGATAATGCCTTCACTCCATGCAATTGTATCTGATATACCAAACCTTTCTTGCCTCTGAAACCCTAAATCCAGAGTTAACATAGTCCCATTAACCTAATCTTAGCACTCCAATTAGATTCTAAGCTCACAGAAAGCAGGGGCACAGCATAGCCTACCAGAGATTAGGAAACAAGCCTAGACATACAAGTTATACACTTTTTTCAGTCACTCAACTAGTCTAGCAGAACTAGAACCCCAAAACAAGTCTCAGAACTCCAATCTTTTAGTCATTCAACAAGCATTGATACTTACTCTGTTCTAGTCACTGGGGATAAAATATTTAAGGCATGGCCCTAAAAATGATTCTATGAAAATAGTGTGCTTAATTTTACTTCCCTAAACCACTCAAAAGTAGTTGAACAATAAATTATTTTTTATAAACTAAAAATATACCTCCAAATGTGGAATAAAAGTTCTATCACTTTCAAGGGCAATCACTCTGGCACCAGTTTCAAGTAATGCTTGAGTCAGGATTCCAGGACCTAGTATATTAACAGAACAAAAAGTTTATTTGCAAAAGAGACAACATAATTTCTTTCAATATCAAAGAAATTAGATGTTTTACACGTATTATCTAATTTTAATTCTCACATCCCCCAAGTAGATATTAGGCTCCTCATTTACATATAATGAAACTGAGGATTACATAGTTACTTGACTCCAACATGGCAACTGGTAAGCAGCGTTGCTTGGCTTTAAATTCATTCTGCCAAAGACTGCAAAACCTGTTCTCAATCACAATGTTTCATCATCTCTCAATAAAAAAGCAAACAAAAAAGGTTGCCTCTAGTCTACCACTTACTCATGGACTATCTAGATACTTTAATCATCAAAGATATTGTCAAACCTAAATAGAACTGACTCCTCACTATAGGAAATGGAGCTTTAAAAAATAATTTTTCAAAAAATCCATAAATCTTGCATTCTCAGCATCCTGCTATGGTCTGCAGGAGATGCACGGAAGGGTAAAAAAAAAAAAAAGTTCTCTTGGGGTGGGGGTCCTGGCAACTATTCCGGGGAGACGGCGAAATCTAAGAGCATGTTTTATCAAAATATTGTGTAAACTGCAAACCGCTACAGAAATATTTTGTGGTGTCATGATTAATACAGACCACATAAGCTGCTCAAAGGAAGGGGCTATGTCTTAGCACACCACGGGTGGTCAATAAAAGTTTGCAGAAGTGCTGAACATCCAAGAAAATACAGTCCGCGACGGACTCACCCGGATTGCACTCCAGGAATAGCTGGCAAGTTTTTTCTCGGTTTTCCCGCAGGACCCGCACCAAGGTCTCAGCCAGCCTCGGACTGGTTATGTACCGCCTGGGCTCTAAGCGGCACTTGGACACCCAGGAGGGCGAGTCTCCGAAACCCAGACTGGGCAACAGCTGCGGGTGGAAGTCAGACAAACCCCGGCGGTTCCTCGCTAGGACGTCCTTCCGCCTCGCCGCTCCGGATCCCAAAATGCAAGAGCGACCGGCGCCGGTGAAGGCAGTGAGCGTCAGCCGCGGAGGAAGCCCCGCCACTGGGAGCCACATCCTGACCCTCTGAGGTCTGTCCCAACGTCACCCAGCGTCCTTACATCGTCGGCGAACTCCACAAAGACCACCCCATGTGCAACAAACTCCTACCCCCCGACTAGGCCGGGCGGAAGTAAACATTACAAACTGCGCATGCGAACGACCTCTCCTTGGTGCTCTTTCCCTCACTTCCGTTTCCGGTCCGGCGTGGGCGCCGGAGGACTGTGAGTGGACCGATGAGGAGAGAGACGGCCGTCCAGGTTGTGTCTGGACTCGTACTCTATGGTTGTCCGCCCTCTGCGCTTCCTCTCTAGCCGCCCGCGCTCTATGCTCCGGGGCCGCGGGCCGCCCGCAGCCTGCCGGCCGGCCGGGAAGGGTGCGCAGAGGGAGGCGGGGCGGGAAGGCGAGAGGTGTCTGCTCCACCCGAGCGGCGGGAGACCTGAGCAGGCTGTGTGACAGCTCGTCGGTCGCCATGTCAGCGAGGGCGGCTGGAAACAGACCCGGCGCCCAGCGGTAGCCCTCCCTTCGCCGCCGAGTCCCAGGTGAGGAGAGGAAGAGCGGGATGCAGGGCGCCGGCGGGCTCGCGGCCGGGTGGGCGCCTTCGGAGCCCCTCGCGTCTCCCCCGGCGCTGTCCTCCTCCGGCAGCGCCGCCTTTGCCCTCTCGGTGAGGTGTAGCCGGCTTCCCTCACCTCCGCCCCCTCTCCGGTCTCCTGTTTGTCTCTTGTCTCTAGTCTGTGGTCTGTTCCTGCGCCTCGCGCCAATTTCTCCCTCCCCAGGGCACCAGCGTCGTTCCTGCCCGGCTCCTGGCGGAGCCTGCGGCTGCCTCTGTGCCTCTCTCCCCTGCTGCCCACAGCCCCATCCCTCCACCCTTGGGGATGCTTTTTCTTTTCCTTCATACCTGTTTGTTTTTTCTTCTCTCCTGCCACTTCGGTTGTCAAGAACGCCTCGTGTCTCCCTTCCGTTTCTCCGTCTGGCCCAATATTTACCTTAATGTTTAGTTTTAATTTGTGTGTTTAAAAGATTTAAGGTTAAGGTTTTAAAAATTAAGATATAAAAGCTTAAAATTCCTTTCGAAGCTTAAAAAGATGAAGACCTTAGGATGCTTATTTTGCTCCCCGTATAAACTTAGTCAAACACATTGAACAGTGGAATGCGATTCAAAAGACCCATTCCAAAGTCTCTAAAAATAGGATGCTCTGATGGAAATTTTGGCAGCCTTTTTACCTATTGGGCAGTGTTAGAAGACTCGATTCTTTGCGAGTGCTGTCAGTGTTTAAGGATTATATGCAGAAAGAGCTTTATCCATTACGCTTTCCACGAAGGCAGGAAACTGCAGCCAATCAACTCCCTGCTTTAAAATATGTACAATTCTTTCTGCTTACACTACTGGGGACGTATTTGAGCTTGGCATTTAAATGCACAAAGAAAAGGTTTCTAAGGAATGCCTCACCTAGCAAATAGAAGTCTGGAGATTATACGCAGCTGATGAATCTCAAATGGATAAAAAAATTGACAGCCAAATACGGCCTTTTTTGGATTATAAATTTGTTAGGACACCATAGAAAGTATCGGATCAACTCTTGCTGAGCCCTGGGGACTCTTTGGTCTTAATTTCCTTAAATTCTTTTTTTATACAGTTTCCCCATCTACAATTTTATAGAAGTAACTTTTGCATCCTCTGAACACCTGAGATAGCACCCCCCCCCCAGGATCCTTTACTGAGCTGTCTTCCCCTCTCCCCTTAAAAAAATATTTTTATAGATTCAGAAATACACTGGGGTTTTCTCCCCAAGAGTCCTGGAGGCCTAAGTATTTTAAAATCAAACAAAGCAGAATGATGTCTTACGGTTGAGGAAGAAATGGTTCACTCATAGAAATGTGTTGTTGAATGTTTCACTTTTAAAATACACTTCAAAAAAATTGTGGTAAAAAAATACTTATTTTAAAATATGCTTCTTATTTCATAATATTTGTGGACCAAAGGTAGCCTACTCAGCCCTAGAGAAACTGATGTAGTTTTTTAATTTGCTTTTGGGTGGTGTTATTTTCTTTTGGTTTTGGAAAAGAGAATTAGGTCATGATGATTATTTCCCTTTTTATTGTGTTAATGGATTGTTTATGGTTCAAGATGCTTGAATAATAAAGAGACAGAATCTTAAACACTATTTTTCTGAGGCCCCAGGTGCTGGAAATGAAAGAAATGTCCATTTCACTTTAAAGATGAACCTTATGATCAGCATTTTGCTCTACTTTATTAGAAAAACTTGGTTTGTGTATTTCTCATCCTGTTTTCTTAAGAGGTGTGTTTTTTGCGTCCTGTACTATTTTTGCCTTTTTGAAGTAATCTTTCTTTAAAATGGTGTCAGGGCAAAGTGATTCTGCTATTTTTGTACTCTTCTTAAGTTATTTTTACTATCATCTCAATTGGTAAGAAGGAAGAATACTGCTTTTCTTTTGGCTTTTAAATGGCAATTATAATTGGGAAATGCTGAGTGATAGTTTTTGTTTGCTATCAGAATTAAGGCTGTAGGTCTATAGTAGTGCTGTCCAATAAGAGTATAATGCAAGCCACATAAGCAATTTAAATTTTCTAGTCACATAAGAAACAGGTGAAATTAATTTTAGTAATATATTTTATTTAATCCTATATATAATTTCAACATGTAATCAATTTTAAGTTCATAATGAGATATTTTACATTCTTTCATACTAAATCTGTGAAACCTGCTGTGTATTTTACACTTACAGTCCATCTGCATGTGGCCTGGCCACGTTTCAAGTGCTCAGTAGCTACATGTAGCTAGCTAATGGTTAGGAACTTACTGGGCTGCACATAACCTATAGGATTGCTGTGAGATTCTTAAGATGTCTTCCTACTCTTGAGAATCTGGGGTAAATTCTTTGAGGTAAATTTAAAAATCCTTTTCCTGAAGTGCTTCGATATTCAAACTGAGGAGTTTCTATGCAGGAAGAGAGTTCCAAGAAGTCTCTTCCTCTTAGTGTTGACTCTGTTAACAGTGAGGAGGATAAACAGGTCCCCGGTGCTTGTTTAGTGAGGGTCATAAGATGAATAGAGTGCTCAGTCATTTCCTGGGGTGTCACTGTTACAGTTTTTTACATCTGCGCGTCAACAATGTGTCTAGGCACTGTGTGAGTCTTTGTTTACTGTATCTATTGGTATTAAGTAAGGAGAACTGGAGGACCTACAAGAAGACTGAACTTGATGGTGAACAGGAAGAGTACCTGCTGTTGAAGACCTCTTTTCTGAATCAGTTTCAGGCATGGCTGAGAGTTTTGTAGACGTGCTTCTCATATAGAGAAGCTGTTTCTTATCAAAGGAAGGATAAATTCTTTTTAGCTAAATTTAGAAAGCAAGAGGGTATGTTTTTTGGCTGTAAAACACCAGTGGTAGCAAAAGGTTAACACATGGGTATGGTGGTTTAGATAAATTTAAAAGGAAATATGGCAGTTTTTACAGAAAGCTATTGATGTATTGTCTAGATCTGTGCTTTAAGTTGTTTTTGTAACAGAGGTAGTGATTTGCATGGAACTCTCTCTTGTTCAGAGCTGTTATAACTGAAAGATAGCCCTGTTGGAAGCTAACTGACCTCAGTGGGGATCATTAGGACCCGTCATTGTTCTTATCTGGACCCCTTACTCTAATAAATTTACCGAAATACTACTTTAGTGCACTGTTTTGCTTCTACATTTAATGTTAAAATTCAGTGTCAAAATTCACCTGAAGGCCTAATTAATATTCAGTGTAATTTGATACAAGTAACATACGCCATTCCCAACCTTGTGGTATAAAGAAATCTTAAATTACCTGGTCAGTAAACAAACTCCCTCCGTAAAATCTAGTCATTATAGACCTGGCACACTGTTGGCAGTGTGTAGGATATTAAAGGATCAAAGTCAGAATTGGGGAAGGGGTTAGTTATTGGATGTTGCTTGTTTCTTGAGAGATGCATGTGCATTATGTAGGAAAATATAGTGTTTTCATTTGTATTTAAATCTATCCATTGACACCATTTCAGTTGGATAAAAAAGAGAATACATTGTTTTGTTCCTACAAATTAGTCTTAGCAAATTTTTTTTTGTTATTTGAGAATAATTGATAGTCTGGCAATTTTCAATTTTTTTTTTTTTTTTTTTTTTAAAGATTTTATTTATTTTATTTTTTCCCCCCAAAGCCCCAGCGGGTAGCCGTA